AAGAGTCACAACAATTCCCATCTATCTAATCACACCGAGTCCTTTCTCAGGCTTTCAGAATAACATTCTCTCTGCTCGCCTAGAAAACAACTTGTCAGCATAGCAAAGATACTTTATACAAAGAAACAAGATGGAACCTCTCTGGCTCATTTCTTAATTACAAAACCCATATGCCTTAAAAGATTTTAACTCAAAAACCCATCTCATCACACTCGTACCCCAGCTTCACGGAAAGCCAAGGTGGACATGCCATTTGCCAATTTTTACACAGGATTGAGGAAGTCACGGCAGCCAGGGAAGTGTAGCTTGAAGATGAGATGTAGAATGCAAAGAAAAAACAAATGCAGCATCACTGGTTACTTTAAAATGTTATGGAAAGCTCAGAAATATAACTGGAAGAAATTCTAAATGAGAAGTGAGGTAGAAAATTGGGAGCTTCATTTAATCATTGGAGGTATTCAAGAGAAATTTAGACAGCCAGCTGTCAGGTATACTTTGATTTGGATTACTGAATGGAGCAGAGGGTTGGATTTGATGGCCTTATAAGGCCCCTTCCAATTTCATTATTCTGTGATTCTGAGAACTGAAACTTTGGAGAAGTTGGAGGGTAAACTGTAACACAGCACTAGCTGCATGTTCCCTCATACAGTACCTACTACTTTAGGGACACTAGCTGCATGTTCCCTTCCCTCATACAGTACCTACTACTTTAGGGGAAGGAGCTGTTTTATAAGCATCGGCAGTAGAGGAAATGTGCCTACATTGAGCCCTCAAAAGTATAACATTTGGAAGGGCTGGAGCTGGAGCCAAAAGAATGGCAAGGGGTGATCCCAAATTTCTCAAAAGACATTTTTTTTTCTGGATAAATGTATCTTTTTCATACTCCCCCTAGAAATAGAAGGCCACTTTGTAGAATGGTTTTTCTACTTTTTCTCCCGTGCCTTCCAACTGTTAGCACCACCACTACCATAAGGTCCTAGACTGACACTAGGAAGAAGGCATTGTGAGGAAAACAAAGTGATGTCCAAGTTGATGACACAGAGAGTGCTGCTTACAGTGGCCACACAAAAGATAAAAATACTTTTGAAGAAAAAAAACCAAAGTAATTCTACTGCCATTTGTGACCCACTTATTAATCTTTGTGACAGTTCAGGGTATCCACAAAGCTCTCCTCCAGCACTACATTTCAAACTACAACAAAGTGAGGAAAATCTACAAGATCAAATAGAAAGTACTTGATTCTTAAGGTTTCCTAAATGAGCAAACTACATTTATAAAATAATAATGGACCACAGGTTGGAAAGATATCATTATCTTGGCCTTGGCTACCCATATATATGTATGTTGGCAGAGAGAGTATAATCCAAACAGTATCTTATATTTACACTAGCAGTGTCACCAAGCTTACATTTCCAGGCACAGACATATCAGTTTCAAAGGGAGCTATTTAGCCTGCACATGGCATGAATCATGAAACTTGAGTTCTTCTTTGCCTCCGATTTTATTCCTCTAATTTAGGCAGCCTCCAACCCCATTTCTATCAGCCGTGCATCCCTTGTACCGTTCTGGTCCAAGTGCAAGGAGTACGGGAGGAGGTACCTGCCTTCTCTGACACCAGGCACAATGTACATCAGGCTTTCAACAGTTTCTGGACAATGTAGTTTTCCAGGGGTTACTGCAATGTAAAGACAGGTCTCTCTGCTTTTGGCCTGCTTCCTTTGGGTAAAATTCACTAAAACAGGATGGAAGGTAAGGGATAATATATCTGGGAGAAACTGGGGGTAGGGAAACAGAATTGGTGTGGAAAGAGTTAAATCTCATGAAGGTGTGAGGTAGAAGAAACATGAGGTTGCCTCAGAATGAAGCTGAGGTTTGCCTCAGTTTTTCAGGAAGTAGCTCAGCTTCAGAAGTGAGCTTTCCCCATCACTAACTTAGACCTGTTTGTTGAGTGTGAAGATTAACGTGCTGGCTTTTTGTTATGGCCCAGTTTTGTGAAGACATCCCTTGGAAAATGGATAATGAATTTCTGCCTGCTGTTTTTTTGGCACTAATTTAACTCTTTGTTATTTCTATCTAGTTCCTAGCCAGATGTGCTATTCAGGTAATGGAATAAATTACAGAGGCATTGTGAAGAAGACGCTTTCTGGAAATAACTGTCTGCCTTGGAATTCAGATTTACTTTACCAAGATCTTAGTGCTAATGTCATTGAAAATCCTGAGCAACAGGGACTGGGGTCATATTCATACTGCCGGTAAGAAAATGCCCAGAATATTGGCTGGGAGGGAGTAAATGTTGCTGAATGTCATCCAGTTACCTATGACATACGGTGACCTTATGAATGAGTGACTTCCAAAATGTCCTGTCATTAACAGCCATGCTCAGCTATTGCAAACACAAGCCTGTGGCTTCCTTCATAAAGTTAATCCATCTCATATCTGGTCTTCCTTTTTTTCCTGCTGCCTTCAACTCTTCCTAGCATCATCTTTTCCAGTGAGTCTGGTTATCTCATGATGTGCCCAAAGTACAAGAGCTTCAGTTTCATGATTTTTTTTTTTTTACTCTAGAGAAAGTTCAGGCCTAATTTTTATCTAGGAGCTACTTGTTTGTCTTTTTGGTCCGGGAACATATTTTGAATGAATGATTTTTTCCCCTGTCAGTTTGTTTCAATACCTAACTTTGACATGCATACATAGTAACTGGAAATACTGATTGTATGGAAGATACCAGACTGGGTTTCCAGTGGCACACTTTTAAACTTGTTAATCTTTTCTGATTCCCTCATAGCTGCCCTCCAAAGTTTTCTTCTGATTTCTTGGCTGCAGTATCAAAATGGTTTGATTATTGTACCATTATTAGCATTGAAGTTAAATGTTCTTTTGTATTTCTTCTATAGTCTCACTTTTGCACTTTCTTCTTTCTCCTTCCTCAGTTGTTGCTTAAAGTCATTCCTGCTTTCTGCCAGTAACATGGCTTCATCAGCATATCTTAAATTATTGATGTTCCCCACCTATTTTCATTCCATTTGTATCTAGTCCAGCTTTCTATTTACCATATTTTTCCGTGTATAAGACACCACCATGTATAAGACACCCCTCACTTTTCTAACCAAAAATTAAGAAATCTAAATGGGGCTTAGCAAATGTAGGCAGAAAGGGATCAAAGTGATGCAGGATCACTTTGATCCGTGCTTTCTACCTTTGTTCTAAGCCCCATGGGGCTTAGCAAAAGGAGGGGAAAAGGGATCAAAGCAATTCTGTGACTGCACAATAGGATTTTTATCCCTTTCCCCCTTATACAGCCATGGGATTGCTTTGATCCTTTCCTCCCTCTTTTTGGTAAACCCCATGGGACTTAGCAAGCAGAGGGGAAAGCAGGGATCAAAGCAATCCTGCAGCACTTTGACCCCTGCTTTCCTTTTGCTAAGGCTTAGCAAGTGGAGAGGAAAGCAGTGGTCAAAGCCCTGCAGGATCACTTTGATCCCTGCTTTCCCCTCCACTTGTTTTTGTTCTCTCCTCAGCTTACTTCCGTGTATAAGACGACCCTCAATTTTAGTCTAAAGATTTTAAACAAAAGTATAGTCTTATACATGGAAAATATCGTAATGCTGAATGCATAGAAGCCAGAAAGCAATCTTTGCCACAGTGATATGGTTGGGTGGAATGTGTGTGCTTAGTGACTGATGTGAAAATGACATTGCTACAATTTGAATTTTACACGTAAGTACTATTTTCCCAGGTTTTCTGTTGAAAGAGTGCTATTCATTTACATTTTATCACATTAATTTGAAATAGATTATCACACTTCAAAAATGAATTTCCTTTAAAATTCTAAAGCCTGGCATATATTTATTCTTATTCAATATCAGTCTTCAATCATAATTGAAAAATGGCTTATAGTTGATTAAAAATATACCATATTTTTCCATGTATAAGGTGACACTTTTATCAAAAATCTTTAGACTAAAAATTGAAGGTCATCTTATACATGAAAGTAAGCCGAGGAGAGACGAAAATGGCCCATACCTTGCCTCTGCAAAAACAGGCTGCCTCTAATCAGGAGGCTTAGCTTCCTACAGTAAGGAGACTTGGCTTCCTCCACTCATGAGCCTTATGGAGCTGATGTCAGCTGATGGTGAACAAACCAATTGGAACAGACCTAGTTAGAGGTGGAGCCTGTAGGCAGTGCTCAGATTCATCAGGGAAATTTAAGTGTTCTGAGCCCAGAGGCTGGATATTCAAAGCTAAGTTAAGATTTCTTAATTTGGGCATTAGAAAAGTTGGGGGGGGGAATCTTATAAATGGAAAAATATGGTAGATAGAAACAAAACGTAACCAGAATCCTACTACTTGCACTTGCCAGTGTAAGTCCACTGGAGCAAATCTCAGCGGTGAATTGCCATGACTTAGGAAGTTGGCATAGGCCTTCAGTGCTGCACATCAATTGCATATCTTGGTGCTTGACAGCAAATGTGTATGCCACTGTCCAAACTAGCAGCATTTCCTGTTAAAATGCAAACTGGTAACCAGTGTAATTCTTCAGTTGAATTCTAGCCACAGACCTCTCCTTGGTGGTGGTGGGCATTTTATAACCAATAGCCCCTCCATCTTCTAAACATTTGATTAAGTGGCCCATGATACTCTATTAGCAAGCTAACCAGGTATAGGCTGGATACACAGGTGGATACACAGTTGGTTACAGAATCATACTTAGAGAGTGCTTATCAATGACTCTCTCTCAGACTGGGAGAAGGAAACAAGTGGGGTACCACAGAATTCAGTCCTGGGCCAGTACTCTTCAACATGTTTATTAATGACATCAATGAGGGTGTGCAGGGAATGCTTATAAAATTTGTGGATCACACAAAAATGAGGGGAATAGCTAATACCTTGGAAGACAAGAACAACATTCAAAAAGATCTTGATAGTTTTGAGCATTGGGCTGACATTTAGCAGGAATAAGTGCAACTTTCAACACCTAGGAGAAAGACACCAAATACAGAGATTGGGGATACTCAGCCAAGTAATACTAGATATGATCTAGTAGTTGCTGTAGATAAAAAAAAGTTGGATATAAGCCAACAGTGCAATATGGCTGCAAAAAAACAAATGCAAATTTACATAGCCTCCAAAATCCATTAAATAATAGTTCCTTGTGGTTGTTGTGGGTTTTTTGGGCTCTTTGGCCATGTTCTGAAAGTTGCTTTTCCTAACGTTTCACCAGTCTCCGTGGCCGGCATCTTCAGAAGACAGCATTCTGTGCTCTGGTATAGTTTGCTTGGGCGTTGAGTATTTATGGCTGTGAGATAGGCTTTTGTCCTTTTTAGGAGATTGGTGATTAGTGTGTCTTCTTGTGGGTGTATTGTTGTGATAAAGAGGAGAGATTATCTGTCACTGTGATTGATGGGTGTCATTAGCTGGTCTTTTGTGTGTAGTGATCCCCGGTCCTTGTGGCTGGGTAGAGTTTGTTGACCTTTTGCATGCTGTATTTTTGAGAGCTTTCAGTATAGCTTCATTTAGGGCATGTTCTGCTACTTAAAGTAGCTGAAATACTGGACAGCACCAGCAATCATTACGTACCAGTAAATACCAGTATTTCAGTATTTTGAAATAAAATTTCATGTCCAGCTTGTTTTAGGGCATGTTCAGCTACTTAAAGTAGCTGAAATACTGGACAACGCCAGCAATTATTATGTCAGACTGCACAGGGAAGCCATTGAAATCCACAAGCACCAGCAGAACTGCAACAAAAAAGAGGAAAGTCTGAAACTCAACAAAACTTGGCTCCCAGCTCTCAAAAATACAGCATGCAAAAGATCAACAAACTCTCATCTTGAGTACTATATCCAGCTGTGGACACCACAGTTTAAGAAGGATACCGACAAACTGGAGCACGTTAAGGGGAGGACAACAAGGATGATCAGGGGTCTAAAAACCAAGTCCTATGAGGAAAAACTGAAATAACTGAGCATGTTTAGCCTTGAAAAAAGAAAACTGAGGGGAGATATGATAGCACTCTTCTAATACTTGAAAAGTTGTCATACAGAGGAGGGACGTGATCTGTGTATTCGCGAAGGCTTTCACAGCCGGGATCTAATGGTTGTTGTGG